CCATTTGCGACAACATGGATGGACCGTCAGGGTATCATGCGAGGAGAAATAAGTCAGACAGAGAAAGGCAAACCCATATGATTTCATTTATATGTGCACTCGAGAACATGACGCAAAACAAACAAAAGCAGAAAAGACCCATGAATACATACAGAGTCCAAACTGGTGGTTGCCTGAGGGGAAGGGGACAGTGGGGAAGGCAAAATGGGTTAAGGGGATTAGGAGGTACAGGCTTCTAGGTATGGGATAACTGAGTCACAGGGTTGGAAGGTGCAGCACAGGGAACAGAGTCAACGGTGAGTAGTGTTGTATGGGGAGAGACGGGAGCTACACTTGTGATGAGCATAGACTAGCACTACACATATGTCAAAAAAGAATTATGAGAATTCTTCAGGGAATTTAGAATCTCAGTTTTGAAAACTGCTACAGCAATGTAAACTAAGTATCCACAGTCTTAGAAGTAAATATTAAATTCAGATATTGTCACATTCGAGGGAAAAGAGCACCGTTTTATATGAAGCTTCAAACAAAACAATCTGTAGTAAGACAAGATTATTTTCTTTGTAATGGAAGAGACAGTGATAGAGCGAGTGCATTACACAGGTGTTTTGAGGTAGGCAAATTATGGAGCTACTTTCAGTTTCATGTATTATATCCACATATTGCAAGAAATGTCAGAAGAAACATTAAAATATCATTGTATACATTTATATCTGACATTAAATTCAGATTTACACAAAACCGATTTGTGTGAAGAGTTAAGTCATTTTTCAAAAAATGGTTCATCAGGTCTAGAAATATTAAAATTCCTATTTCAAAATAATTTATCAGAAAGGCATCATAATGCTGTCACAGACTATAAAATATTCCTAACAGCTCAAGTTTGGGGGGTTTTTTTTTTGCATCAGAAAAAAAAAGCCTTCTCAAAGTTAAAAATTTTTGAAAAATATTTGAGGTCTTGTATTGGCCAAAAGAGACTGATGTCATTTTCAATTATGTATGGAAATTGAATTTGCTAAAAGTACAAATGTTGATGCCATAATAAATGAAATTGCAGAAAAGCAATCCAGAAAAATCTTATAATCAGTAAAATATCAAATTCATAGTCTTAATCATCTATTATACATACATATTTATTGTACTATATAAAATTATAACACACAAATATTATTCTTGCAAGTCTATCTGTTTGTAAGTTTACTACAAGTTTATTGGAACATTTGCAAATTTATTGCCAGTATTATCTTGCCAGTTCTAACACACAAATGTCATTTTTGCAAATACTTGTCTTTATTTGCTCTAGCCCTGTGGGTCTGAGAACTCAAGCGCTGCTGGCCACCAGAGCCAGGTTGTCAAGGGGTACTGGTCTAGATGGCAGCCATAAAACCCGGACGCCAGACGGGTGCACCAGCTCTTTCCAGGGAGACACCAGGGACCTGGAGCTGGGCAGAGAGAAAATGCAGAGTGCAAACACAGGCTTCCCTGGATTTCCAGGGAGGAATGTAGTCAGCCCCTGGATGTGTTCCGAATTAGCAGCCTAACCCTCAGGCAGCAGCTTTTAAGAAATGAAAATAGGCCTCTTTGAGGGTAAGACTGGGAGGTGGGCCGTTCCGTCTGCTCCCTGTTTCTTTGTCTACTATTGTTTTGGGGGTCTCCGTGCACACCCCCCTGGCTTCCAGATGGAGGTGTTTGGGGGACGGTTCCTCAGGTGGAAGTCTTACAAGTTGGGGCACTGGAAGTTGGGTCCAAACCCTTCACTCTTCAGGGAGAAGCAGGTATTTATAAGTTCCCTTCCAATCATATATTGTGCGTTGGGGGTGGAGTTTATGGCAAGAATGTGTCCCAGCTTTGTGCATCTGTTTCAGTGTGGGTATTTCCTCTTTAACCCAATGTGTAGGAGTCCCTCAGCTAGTTTCTGGATTTTTTACAGTGGGAGTTGTCCCACGTGTAGCTGTAGATTCCATGTGCCCATGGGAGGAGGTGAATTCAGAAGCCTCCTATACCACCATCTTGGACCAGAACTACTTTTTCTTTGGATTCTTACAGAAGAAGTTTGGATCATAGACTTTAAATGTTTCCTCTTTTTTTTGTTTGAGGGTAGTTGACAAACAATGCTATATACTATTTCAGGTGTACAACATAGTGACTCAACAAGTTTATACATTATTCTATGCTCACATCTGTCACCAGACAATGCTTTACAATATCACTGACTCGATTCCTTATGCTGTAAAAATATTAAATAAATAAATATTTCTTCTTTCTGAATATAGGCATTTAATGCTATTTATTTCCTTCTAAGTATTGTTTAACCTCCCACAAATTTTGACACGCTTATCATTTAGCTGTATTTGCTATTATCCGATTATGTAATATTCACTTATAATTATTACAATATATTATTCTATCCATACATTATATAGAAAGGTATTCCATCATATGTGAGGATTTTGTGAATAATTTATTGTTACTGCTTCTAACTTAATTATTTTGTTGTCAAAGAATATTTTTCTGTAAAATTTCCCCATGTTTAGGGTTACTTAGACTTGTTTTATGGCACAGGGAATGGTTCGTCTTGGCAAATGTTCAAGGTGCTCTCCACAAGGATACACATTTTTCCACTTGTGCTTTACTGTCCTTTGGCAATTAATTCAAGTTGGTTGGTAATGTCGCTTATGTCTTCTATTCCCTAATGGTTTCCATCTTGTTCTATCAAGAGCCAATAGAGCTGTTCTATCAAGTGTGTAAGATATTTAAATTTAACTACATTTATGGAAATTGGCAAACACTACAAACCAGAACTTGTATTTTTCTGGAGAGCTGGTTGTCAGACATTGACTAGCACAATAATGGTACGATGTAGGCTGTAACTGTTTTGTCAGAGTTCCCTTTTTTTCTATTTCTACCACCACTTTATTTCTACCAAAAAGTTTTTTATGTTGATGAAGCCCCAATAGTTCATTTTTGCCTTTGATTCCCTTGCCTTTGGAGACGTGTCTAGGAAGAAGTTGCTGCGGCTGAGGTCGAAGAGGTTGCTACATGTGTTCTCCTTTAGGATGTTGATGGGCTCCTCTCTCACCTTTAGGTCTTTCAACCATTTGGAGTCTATTTTTGTGTGTGGTGTAAGGAAATGGTCCAGTTTCATTCTTCTGCATGTGGCTGTCCAGTATTCCCAACACCGTTCGTTGAAAAGACTGTCTTTTTTCCATTAGATATTCTCTCTTGCTTTGTTGAAGATGAGTTGACCATAGAGTTGAGGGTCGATTTCTGGCCTCTCCATTCGGATCCATTGATCTATGTGTCTTGTTTTTGTGCCAGTACCATACTGTCTCGATGATGACAGCTTTGTAATAGAGCTGGAAGTCCGGAATTGTGATGCCGCCAGCTTTGCTTCTCATTTTCAACATTCCTTTGGTTATTCGGGGTCTTTTCTGGTTCCATACAAATTTTAGGATTATTTGTTCCAGAGGAAGATGCACATCAGCTGGGTGTTGGTGAGGAGGTCCTGGCTTGTAAGTCTCTGTGGTCCTTCCACCTGTATAAGTTAGGCGGGCATAGGAGAGGGAAGGTTCTCGGTGCTTTTGTGAGGTGTGTGTATCTCTGGACCAGGGCATCACTTACATGTTCCTGTCCAGACAGCTTAATGCAATCCCATTAGCAAAGAAAGGGGCAGTGCGGGAGGTGAATTTCCTCTGTGGTGAATTCCCTCTTGTGATAAGAATCTGCTGTACATAATTTCCATCAGAAAATCCCAACCCCCACAGGTCTGCCTCCTCTTTCCCCGGCTGCTGCTGAACTGAGACCCTGTCCGTTCATTAAGGTCTCAGCAAATACCTCTGAACCCCCAAAGCATAGGGAAACTAGAAGCCCAGTGTGTGATCTGGAGCCTAGATATACTCAAGGATGTTCCACGAATAATAGGCACTGGTTCCACCTAAAGAGAACCTGCCCATAAGGCTGATCCAAAATACCTCTCGTCTGAAACTGAAGGACATGCAGCTGTTGGCTCATTAGCACAATACATTTAGCTCTCTATCCCATGCTGGTTTCAAAAGGATCCTAAATTTTGAGGAGCTAGAATATATTTTCCATTAATTTCCACTCTAATTTTTGTATTTCCTTCATTCTACCTGCTTGGATTTTGTTTGCTCTTTATTTTCTAGGTTCTTAGGGTAGAAGCTTAGGTCATTGGTTAGAGATGGTTCTTTCTTTTCTAATTCAGGCATTTTTCAAATAACATTTCTAATATTATTTGTTTATCATTTTATTACAAATTTAACACTAGGCTGAGGGAAACATTGGCTATTTCTTCACTTGGGAAGCAATAGGAGAAATATGAGAAGTTAGAATGGAAACAGGGCCTTGAGGGGTCGGTCTGATGCTGTTCATGATCCATTACCTGGGAGGAGTTTTCATATTTGATGTCCTAGGCACAGGAACATTTTGGGAGAAAGAGAATGGAAACAAGCAAACAAAAAACCCTATGTAGTACGACAGTTGTAGAAGACTTTAGGGTGGCCCCATGACACCTACAGCCCACGGTTCATGCCCTACCATCCAGTGCGGGCAGAGCCTGTGACTTACTTGTAGCCCACACAATCTTGCGGAGGTGAAGGGATTTTGCGGATGTCATTATGATCCCAAGTCAGTTGACTCTGAGTTAACTAAAATGGATTAGTTAAATTAATTAATTAATTGATAAAAATTAGTTAATAAAAATTATGCTGGGTGGGCCTCCCTAAATCAGGACAAAGCCCTTAAGGGAGGAACTAAGCCCTCTCTGTTGTTGATAGATTTCCCCTTGCTGGTTTGATTAGTAAGGATCTCACATGTCAGGAATTTTGAGTGGCTTCTAGGACATTGATGTGACCTCTGGCCTGCAGCCACCAAAGGCCAGGACCGTTAGTCAGATAGTCACAAAGAAAAGAATTCTTCCCACAACCTGAATGACCTTGGACACAGACTCTTCAAGCCTCCAGATGAGAATGGAGTCTGGCCAACACCTTGGTTCCGTCCTGGGAGACCCCAAGAAGAGAACCCAGCTATACTCTGCCCAGACACCTGCCTTCTAGAAACTGTGATGATCACTGTGTGTTGTTTTAGCCACTAAGTTAGTAGTAATTTGTTATGGAACAGTAAGAAATGAATACAACAAGAAAGTTTCCTATGTGCTGAGATAGTGTTACAAACTTAAGAAACTAAGGGAAATCTGAGCAGACGGAAATGTTACGGAGCACTATTTGTCAGTTTCCCCAGCTCCCCCTGGGGAGGATAGAGAAGCCCAAGGGAGGCCAAGGTAGGGGCGGAGAGGGGTGTGAAAACTGACCGTTCCATCCTCATCACCGTGCACGCTCAAGCTTCTGGAGACCACTCTACCTGTAATGTTCCAGAAAATAGAAAAAGAGAGAGGACAAGAGAAGACCTTGGCCAGGTCCATGGTGGGCATCATAGAAAAAGGACATGAAAATTGGACAAGGAGAAAAGGACAAGTAAATAGACCCAGGACAGAAGAACTAGATTTTGAGAAAGACACAGAGATGGAGAAATCAGAACCAAAGGAGCACAGATGACTACATCACAATTCCTAGGTTTCTAAACAACCATGGAGGGTGCTTATGTGAGTCTTGTAGTGACATGATCATTACATTATAAAACAGGCTATGTGGAAAATACACACACACAGACACGTGTCAGTTTGAGATCTTCCACTTTCATAGTTTGACCCTTTTACCCAAACCACCCAGAGACCCCGGGTTATGAGGAGCAACATCTGAGGGAGTTGAGCCTCACTGAGTAGTCACCTGGGGAGGTTTCTGTTTAGACCCAGAGCACTGTGGGAGGAGCCTCCTTACTCTGCGGGCAGTAATGGTTAGCAGCGTCGCCGGCCTCCACGGGATCACTTGTGAGGCTGAAATCAGTCCCAGACCCACCACCACTGAACCTGGCTGGGACCCCAGACTCTCGACTGGATGCTTTATAAATCAGGACTTTAGGACGCTGTCCTGATTTCTGTTGATACCAGGTCATGTAGTGGGTAATGCCCCAAATGTCACTGACTTTCTGACAGGCCTTGCAAGAGATGGTGGCCCTCTGCCCTGGAGACATGGTCAAAGAGGCTGGAGACTGGGTCAGCACAATGTCCCCAGTGGAGCCTGGAATGATAAACACAACAAATTTAACAGATGTGCTGAGAGCATCCCAGTGGAGGCCCGCAGCACTGAGGACCCTTGTAGTCAAAGTCATGCACAGCACTCTGAGGAACCAGAAGACAAAAGGTAACTGGGCAACTGGAAACCTATACCAAATGCTTGAATTCCAGCCACCAGGAACCCAGAGACACCAAAAGCATCGTGGCCACAGTGAGGTTTGCCCACCATTTCTCCATATGCCCCCCTCTCACCTGGAGCCCAGAGCAGCAGGATCCACAGCAGGGGAGCCCTAAACCCCATCTCTGAGAGCTGGACTAGAGGCTGCTCCTCAGGGGGCCTGACCAGCTGCCTTTAAGGATGCTGAGAGCAGCCTGGAGCTCTGTCTAATGATACGACATGCAAATCAGCTCAGAAGAGCTTGAGGTTGTGCTCAATGGGGACACCTGCTCTCAGAACACCCTGTGGGACTTGGGGTCACCAGAAATTTCCAAGTGTAGCTCAAGCATGTCCCAAGGGACCAGTTTCTTGAATCTCTGCCTTCTAGCCTGTCTGAGAAGCCATGCCGGGGAGTGCCCTGGGGCTGTCCTACCATTAGGATTTAGGTTATTTCAGGAACACTCTTAATCCTCAGAATTAAAATCTCATACATTACCACAATAATGCATTTCAAGTTGTGATTATTGTCAGGAAGAGAAAGCCATGGGATTATAAAGAGTGAAACAGGGTGGCCTGGTTCAGATGGGGAGGGGAAGTCGGCCCCACTGAGTAGATGGCCTTTAAACCAAGTCCTGAAATGCCCTCAGGACCTGGAAAGGCTGAGACGGCTGAGGGCGGAACCTTGGTGAAGGCTGGGAACCAACACTAATCAAGGCACTTGCCTTGGTGTGGATAAGCCCGGGACTCTCCATCTGCTCCATCCTGGAAACCAAGGACGTGTCCCCCCGGAGGCCCTCCCAGGTGGAGTGGTCACTCCTGCTCAAAGTGGAGAACAGTCAGTGCCCGTCTTCGGGTTCACCCTGCCTCTAACGTTGACGTGTCATGTACAGGCACCATGACAAAGCACAGAGGACAAACCTGTGTGACTCCCAGCCCACAGGTCAAGAGCATATTCTCTACCTATCACTTCAACCCTTCCTCTCCCATGAGCTAATTCTCTGTCTTCTGCAAAATGCCCTCCCAAGTGGCTCCCAGTGACTCTTCCCAAACAGGAGCAGGCTAAGCCACATGGGATTTGTCATCTCCTAACCAGTAATTCTAGTTGTTGGTCATTTGTCAGGGGTAGGGCCAGGCAAGGGCAGGCGGCCCAGGAGAGTGGCTGGCAGGCTGCCTCACCAGGCATCACCACAACCTTTGACTTTGCCAGCTCTGCCTTCATCCTCCACAGAGATTTGCACCATCCTCCCACCCCTACTGCCTCCACTACAGGCCCAGCCCTATAGCCCCATGCTGATCACGTGGTCTTTTCTAGGGACAGGGTCCGAGCAGCCTCGGGAGGGTGAGAGGCAGCCAGGTGGTGCCACCATCCCAGATCCTCGGGCTCCTGCTCTTGTCTGTGTTCCAGGAGACAGAATGTCCCCAAGTTGAGCGAAGTTCCCTCAGGGGCGATCCTCATGCTCCCTGAGAAGAGTGGTCTTGGGAGGGGACAGGAAGTGAATGCCACTAACCGCACAGGCTTGCTTAGGGCCTGGCCTCAACTTGGGAGGCCCATTCTGGCTCTAATGGAATCACAGCATCTCCACATCAGCCCAGGGTGCCTCTGATGGCAGGTTCCAGTGGGCACATGGCACTCCCCCAAGCTGCTGGGTCCCTGTCTGTTTCCCAGGAGAGAGTCTCCATTGGCTGCAGGGCCAGTGAGAGCCTCCTCTGCATGGCCAGGAAGCACTGCTTAACCTGTGCCAGCACGGACCTGGAGGGGCTGAAGGCCCTCATTTACCTCCTTTCCACCTGAGTTAATGGGGTGCCCACCCGGTTCAGTAGCAGGGGCTCTAGGGCAGACTTCACTCTTGCCATCAGCAGCCTGCAAGCTAAAGACAATATGACCAACTACGGCCTTGCAACAACAGGATGTACTGTCACAATGACATGACCCCAAATATAAACCATCACAACTGGGCAAGGGGGCAGGTGTCCCAGCTGCTTCTCACTTACTAGCCACTACTACAGATGCAGTTCATTTGTTTGTTTTGTTCAGCTCGGGGTGTGGGGGAGAAGATCGGCATGGTGTCATTTTAAAATCTGCAGCTGGGACTCCTCTTCAAAAGAGCTCTAGTCTCCTTCTCTGTTTTCCCATTCACTTCCTTTAAATCTGACTTCAGCCCTCTCTCTGGGCCTCGTGCTAGTCATGACAGCCCCAGTCTGGCACTCTCCACTCAGGTCCCAACCACCCCTCCCATCCCCTCCAGCTGCTGTCCCCACACAGGACCTCCTTCCTAGGTGGAAGTTTGTGGTCACCGTCTGCTGAGCATCCCTATTTCCCGACTTTGCCATTCAAATTTTATTCCAGAGAAAACATCTCACCAAGAAGAAATACCAGATCTCGGTCTATCCTTGTGCTGGAATCAATGCACATTATTCTTTTCCCAACACATTTTTTAATGTTAAGAAAAAAAAAAAGGTCTCTAGTGCAAAACCAGGAGCAAAGAGCAGGTTCCTTTTGTCAATAGAAAATATTTTAAATTTGAAAAGAACAGCAAAGCAGATTATAAGAGAGTGGCAAACAAAAATATGGAAAACGCGAGAGAGAAAGGACTCAGTACCTGAAAGCCTTCTCCCCAAAGCACAAACCTCTGAACCATGGACATGTGCAGTAGCCTGCGTCTCTTCTAAAAGCTCCCTGAGCTTTTGTGCTTCCCCTGCACTCAGCCTTCTTACGGAGATTCTGTTGCCCCGTTCAGCCACTTCTAGACTCCTAGACCTACCTAGAAAGTGGAAGAACAATGTTTGAGATCAAGATAGGTAGCCCATGCCCCTCTAGTGTCACTCCTTATTGCAGACAAACACCAGCCCCAAAGCATCTCCCTGTTTCTGGACTATTTTAGTTCCCACCTCCTAGAGTCTCTCACATGCCTGTCACAATTCCTGGTGGTTTCGGTATATTCAATATATGATCCTTCCATTATCCTGCTCTCTCAGTTGTTGGGTTGATCCTCCTCCAAACTGTCTCTTCCTCACCCAATCTTGATCACTCACTCTGGTGGCCATGCCTTAGATGCGTCATCGCAAAATAAGGACAAGTTCTCCATCATTAAAATGTTGAGCATCTCAGGGGCGCCTGGGTGGCTCAGTCGTTCGAGCCTCTGCCTTCAGCTCAGGTCATGATCCTGGGATCCTGGGGTGGAGTCTGGCACTGGGCTTCCTGCTCAGCAGAGAGTCTGCTTCTCCCTCTCCCTCTGCCGCTCCCCCCTGTTCATGGGGAGTGCGCTCTCTCTCTCTCTCAAATAAATAAATAAAAGATCTTTAAAAAAAAAATGTTGAGTATCTCAGCCTTGTCCACTTCTAAGAGCTCTGCAGCTCACTCCACTGGGTATGCCACAGCCAATAATTTCTAGCTTTCATTAGAGTAAGACCTGAAATCTATAGGAAAACATATGTTGTGTTTCCGTGGAAAATTCGGCGTGTCTGTAGCGTACCTTTCCAGGTTATCAGAGTCCACCCCTGGTCATTGTCTTTGAGCTATCTTGCAACTCTTTATAAATTGTTGGTAACTGATAGATGGATGATTCTGTCCTGTCTAGTAGTGATTAAATTGACTTCTTACCTCACCTTGGAAAACCAGCTTGCCTCTATCTGCAGTTCATTCCTTTACTCCATATATATCTGTGTGTTTTGACTTTTCCTTTGAACCAGTTACTACATCTTCCTAG